TAAGTAACAAAACTAGAAAAAAAAAATCAATGACTTTGAAATAAGCAAAGATTTCTTACGCAGGACAGCAAACATGGATCAGTAAGATGTCAGATAAATCAGACTACCCAAATGAAGTACTTCTGTTCACTGAAAAATATCATTAAGAATGAAAGGTAGGGCTGGGGTTGTGGCTCAGTGGTAGAATGCTTGCCTTGCACATGTGAGGCACTGGGTTCGATCCTCAGCACCACATAATAAAGATACTTTGTCCATCTACAAGCAAAAAAAAAAAAAATTAAAAAGAAAAAGTGAAAGGTAAACTACAGAGGAAAGATGTTTGCAGTGTTTGTATCCTAGGAAGGACCTGCATCTAGAATAACTCAAGAACTCCTACAAATCAGTAAGAGAACAACTCAACAGAAGAACAGGCAAAATATGTGACTGCTTCACACAAGAGGATCTGAAGGTCAAATAAGCATAAGAGACAGGATTGACAGTATTAGTCATCCGGAAATGATAAAACCACAATGAAACACTGTACACCCTCAGGACAACATCAAGTGCTGGCAGGAATGTGAAGCCACCACATCTGTGGCATGAGACCAATTGCCAATAAACACATCAAGTGCTGTGACCACACTCTCCACTGAAGTTCGAGGTCTATGAATCCTCTAAATTCACCCCTGGACCCAATTGAGATGTACTCAGATGTTCACCAAACCGATGGTACAAAAAACATCCCAGCAGCACTAGTCATAATAGTCCCATGCTGGAAATGGTGTCAATGGCATCAGCAGTAAAGCAGAAGAATAACTGTAAAACACTGAACTCCAGTCATGTCAAAGGAGCCACTGGTATACCAATGACACAGCAGAAACTAAAACGATGTCGAGATGAAAGAAACCAGGTACAAACGTAAGTTATATGCAGTCGAGCAAAACAAATCCAGTGTCAGAACTCAGTAGTGGTTACCTTTGGAGAAGGTTACTGACAGAGGGCACAAGGGGGCTTCCCGGGTGCTGGCCATGTTCTAGTCCTTGATCCCAGACAGCAGTAACCCGAGTGGATCTATTTATCAAAACTTAGATTAAAAACATCCATCTTTGCCTTCATTCAGCACACAGGAAAGATAATAGAACTCCATAAAACAAGTTATCACCAACTTAACATGTTCAAAAATTATCTTTACCTAGGAACGTGATCCCGCAAGAGCCAAAGTAAATATCAAAATACAAGAAGTATTTTCCTCTTGATTCTAACAAGAGAAACAGCAGCGTTGTGCTCAAGTGGCAGCCCACGCTGCTCTGTCCCAAGTTCCAGGGCACTGGAAAAGGTAGAGACAGAGAGCACATCTGCCCCACCAACAAAGCCAGGTGCATTCTTCAGCCAAGGTCACCAGTGCCGTGTGGGACCAGAGTCACAGACTGCAGCCTATGAAAAGCTACAGACGCATAATTCAACATGAAATTCCACGATTTTTAAACAATAGCCACAATTTGAGCACGAGTCCCTAAACCCAGTCTTCCACATACCCTAACCCTAGAGGTCCAAATGCCGACATGCCCCCAGCAGGCACTCCCATTACCTCCTGTATCGTGATAGTCAACAATATCATTTTACTCTGTTATTGAGATTCAACTTTTTCCCCTTAAAAAGTTAGTGTTCTGAGATGGGGTTGTGGCTCAGTGGTAGAGCATTTGCCTAGCTCATGTGGGACACCAAGTTCGATCCCCCAGCATCACAAAAAAAATTTTTTTTAATTAAAAAAAAAAAAAGTAGTGTTCCTCGCCAGGTATGGTAGCACATACCTGTATTCCATCAACTCAGGAGGCTGAGGCAGAAGGATCACTCAGCCTTAGCATCTTAGTGAGAACATAAGCAATTCAGTGAGGCCCCATTTCAAAATAAAAAATATAAAGGGCTGTGCCTATAGCTCAATGGTTAAACACCCTCTGGGTTCAATCCCTGGTACAAAAAAAGTTTAAAAGGTAGTGTGCCTTTTCTGTAAACAGTTAATACAAGAGCATCATGGGCTCGTTCACCATTATTTTTTCTGTCACTTTTTGGTTAACTGAGCCCAGCACTCTATGCGGGAGAGATAAAGGGCATCAGCCTGCTATCAGAGATGGGGGAGCTGGGGAGAGCCAGGAATTCCAAGTCCATCCGAGTTGGGTGGGAATCCTCAGCTCTGTCTCTACCAGATATGGAATTTGGGCAAATCATTAACTCACTTGAACCATGGTTTTATCACTGAAAAAGGGACCCCATCTCCTGGAAAGTCGTTGCCACCTTAGCCTCCCGTCAGCACTGGCAGCCTGGGGCTTGGAACTTTCTCATCCAGTCCCCCCAGGCCCCGAGAGGCAGCTCCTGTGATTACTGTATTTCACACATGAGGAAACAGAAGCTCAGAGACATGTCCCAGAGGGCTCCCGTGTGACAAGTCACTGATGTCAACCCTGCTGCCTGACTGCAGAGCCAATGTCTGCACCACCATGCTACATAAGGTGCCCCGTCCCAGGGCCAGCAGGAGGGAGGTGAGCAGGGCCCCTTCCTTCCTGTCCTCTTTGGATTTCTTTTTCTTCGTTGGTCTGAAAGCATTATTCCAATGGCTTGAAGAACAGCCACAAGCAGCCACTGATCTGATCATTCCCAACTCACTGCAGCTGGAACACCAGCCAGCCTCCTGTGTGAGGATTTTAATCCAGCATTCCCAGAAGGGAGGAGGTCTCAATCAGCTAGGGCTGCGAAAGCCAGCTAATGGCTAATTAACTCAGCCCCTGAGGCTGGCAGCCACCCCAGGCCAAGTTCAGTTGGTCTGTTCTAATTGGCGCAAGGCTGCCCAGCACACCCCCATCAGCAGAAAACAGGCATCAGCAGAAAACAGGCAGCGCCTCTGCCCAGCCCCACTCCCAGGTGCAGGTGGAGGTTCCTCTCGCTAAGGCAGAGAGGCCAGAGATGCCCTGCAAATGTGCAGTACCTCCCTAATTCCTATCAGGCCAAGTAACAAAATGGCAAGGGCTCTTGTCTGCATAGGAGCAAACCATGAACAAGCGGTCAGTGCCATGAGGGAGGCTGGGACAAGCAGAGGTTGGAGGTCAAGTGCTGGGCAGAGCAGGACACAGGGCTCAACACTTATCAGGCCTTTAGAACAAGCTTCTCGATGAAGCCTCCCAACAACCTCTGGGAGAGGCAGCCTCTAAGGCTCAGAGAGGAACTTCCTGAAGGTCATTGGAGGCTTGCCCTCACAGCCTGGAGCTGTCTAGCCATGCGCAGCAGCTGCCCTCACCTGGTGGAGGCAGACAGGAGCCTCATGGTAACCAACCCCAGGGGCAGTGAAGACCAAAGAAGGGGAAAATACAAGGGCCCAGCAAGCTCCGAGAAAAGCTCAGCAACTAGCCATAACATCCAGCCTCCCCCTGCAGAGGCTTGGGGCAGCATCTCAGAGATAAAGCCACTGAGAGACCACTGAGGTTGACACCCAGGTGGCCACAGCAGCTGGCAGCGATTTCGTTAAAGCCTGAGGCCCCTAGTTTGGGGTGAGGGCAAAGTCAGTAGAAGCCCAGAGGGCACACCCTGTGGTACCGCCTTTCCATAAGGCCCAGGGTCCTTCACACAAAGCCCAGGAAAAACTAATGGATAAGATAATTGCCCCAAGCATGGGGAGCTCAGGTGCAATTAAATCCGTGTATTTAGGAAGGTAGGGCGGGGAGACTGGGCTGCCTGGGTGTGAATCCTGGCTTTGCCACTCCTTCAGTTTGCGTCCTCTCCAAAATTCAGATGTCGCCAAGGTGACAGTTTAAGAAAGGTTGGATTTTCTCTAAACAGGCTCCCTCCTTCACGGACTTGTGATGAAGGGGGCCTAGGAGCACCTGAGAAAAGTCAGCATGAAATACCCCTCCAAGAGGTCTGCTGAACTTAACAGGAACCACATTTGTTTCTGAAAAGGAGCAACTGGGGAGATGAACAAGGAGAATCGGAGATTAGCTGAAGAGTTCAAGAGAGAAAGGCCAGGAGGCAGTCCGAATTTCCAGACACCGCCTCTCAACACACCAGCTGACTTTCTGCTGTGAAAAAGAACTAGCAAAAGACCACACACTCTCCCTAGGAGCCACGTGCCACACTAACACTAGCACAGGGACAAGGAAGATGTAGGAATTCAAGGTGGTAGCCACAAGCAGTGTTGGCAAAAACATGCCCTCTG